GGAAAACTCAGGCTGGTGACACTGGTAGCTTGTCTGAAAACCTGAGCATGGCTAGTCACAGCTGTGCTGGTGGCGGGGTGCATTTCCCCCCATTGCTGAGGATATTGGCTTGCTGTGGGGTTGCCCTTTAAAAAGTGTCCCTAACAATGAACTAAAGAGGAACTCTAGATCTAAATATTTTACATTGTAAGCCCTCATGGGCAGGGCCCTCCCTACCATCTTGTCTTGAATTGTATTGTATTGTGATTGTATTGCCTTCCTTATATTGTAAAGCGCTGCGCACACTGTCAGCGCTATATAAATCCTGTATAATAATATAACTCTAGAATTGTTCACATATAAAAATGCAGCTGATAAGAAAATTAACTTAGGACAGCACAAAAACACCCCGGAAAAGAAAGTACATATCATGACTTGAATCCATATCATGATTTAGTTGTCTATTCCAAGAACGTTTGTCCACAATGTTGAGTTCTCATCCCTTCCCCTCTCCAATCAAAATGACAAAAGAATGCCTAGAGTTTCATCCTAAGCCCTGTCACCTGTATGCATACAGTATATGTGTGCAGGTATGCCTACACTGTCACCAACAGCTCCCAGTTACATAGCAACGATTGGGAGCCGGTAGGATGAGCTCCCGGTCACACGATCGCTGTGACAGCTAATAACAGTGATCACATGATCGGAAAGCCAAGGAATCGCCTCCAGGATTAAGATACTCTTACACGGCCAACAGGAAGCGGATAAAGAGTTCCACTTTAATGAAGTACCAAATGAAACAGGGTGCAACGATTTATCCCCAGCACAGAGCACTGCTCCCTAATCCTTTCCCTAGATTTATCCCCAGCACAGAGCACTGCTCCCTAATCCTTTCCCTAGATTTATCCCCAGCACAGAGCACTGCTCTCTAGTCCTTTCCCTAGATGTATCCCCAGCACAGAGCACTGCTCCCTAGGCCTTTCCCTAGATTTATCCCCAGCACAGAGCACTGCTCCCTAGTCCTTTCCCTAGATTTATCCCCAGCACAGAGCACTGCTCTCTAGTCCTTTCCCTAGATGTATCCCCAGCACAGAGGACTGCTCTCTAGTCCTTTCTCCTATCCCCAGCAGAGAGCACTGCTCCCTAGTCCTTTCCCTAGATGTATCCCCAGCACAGAGCACTGCTCTCTAGTCCTTTCCCTAGATGTATCCCCAGCACAGAGCACTGCTCTCTAGTCCTTTCCCTAGATGTATCCCCAGCACAGAGCACTGCTCTCTAGTCCTAATTCCTATCCCCAGCAGAGGGGACACTTCCTTCCTCCTCACCTGTAGTATGCGAGTTGCCTTTTGCTTGTAATCCATCATTTCCTGCTTTAAAGATTCTGCTGCAGCCTTTGCGACTTTCAGCTGCTGCTGCATATCATCGCACCTCCTCTTCTCCTCCATGCACTTCTTCTCAGCGGCCACTACCGACTCCACCAGGTTCTGACGATCCGCTTCCATCTTGCTGAGGCGAGCAGAAAATTCATTCTACGGATAAATCCACCAAAAGTTGCTGCAAAGCTCATTTCAAATGAAAACAAATTCCATCTTGCTTTTGTTTTGCTGAATTTAGTGGCATATACATTTTAAAAATATTCTCCTATATTTGTGATGCTCAATATAAAAATAAACTATATTTTATTATCAAATTTGACAGATTACAAAGACTGGGATGTACAGGCTGATGACTAGACAGGTGACTTATTTGTCTGCCTTTTTTTTTTTCCCACCAAAACTTTCAGAGTTCACTTACTCTCTAAAGATATAGTATCACCACAACCTGTTGAATCTCCCAGGGGACAAAGTGCATGCAGCACTTGGTCCCATTCTGATCCATTTTTTTCTGTTTGTGCTGGCCGTCAGCTCCACCCCATGCTGAAGCCCATTTTACGGATGTTCTTATGGGATAGCTACAGCACAGCTCTCTAGCCACCTCCTCTGTTCCTCTGTGTGTACCCATTTTCTGAACACCTGCAATGATAAAGCTAAGCGTCCATAAAACTAGAACAAGTGCAGTAACACAAGTCAGAGCATCAGTTCAGAGAGCAGTTTCAGTGCAGACAGAACAGATCAGGTCTGCTCCCTCTGTTTGCACACAGCCTCCCCCAACTGCCTGGCTCATCTCCGCTGTCTGCCTTAGTATATGGGAAGTCAGGTGTGCAACTTACCTCCTTGCCTTATCTTGAATCTTACCTTCTACCTCCTTATTTGCCCCTTTGTTCTTTCATGCCCCCCTCCCTCCTCTCCCACTGCGTGTCCCCAGCGGGCTTCACACTTTGGAGTGCAGCGAGCTTGTCCCCCAACTCGAACGTCACCCCATCCGCTATCCACTTGTTTCTCTGGCAGCTGCATGTATGCAATATTAGACAGGAGAGCAAATAAAGAGGCTTTGTGATTGTGGCTGGATGTGGAGAAGCTGCTGCTTGCTGGAAGACCAGTGCAAGGAAAATCAAAACATACACAGGAGCTTCGTACGGACAGACTATTCCCCCCCTGCTGTGGTAAATGACAGTGCTGCTCTCCAGCTTGCGTCTGCTGTCACACCAGCACTGGCAATCAGACCTCATAAGATATTAGTCCCCTTCTGAGCAGTGTGATCGAACAGCGGTGGGGGAAGGGGGTGTACTGTTGACCAAGCTAAATCAGCATCCGATGCACCACCTATCAAAATGGGGACAAAGTGCTACAGGAACAGAAAAATGATTCTGGCGAGATGATTTCTTTAACAGAGCTCTGCTTGATTCAGGTCCCAAAGCAAGAGGAGCACTAAAACACATACATAGGGCACACCACCGCGTTTTATAAATGTGTGTACAAAATATAATATTTATATACAGCTAATCCTCGCTTACCGACTTACCTGCTTTGCGACCACTCGCACTTATGACCATCCTCTGATCGACCTCGCGTGTCAGTGCGACGTGTCGCCGGCGGAAGTAATGTCCTCCGTTCTTCACTGCGGGTCCCAGTAAGTATTTCATTGCCCGATGTACAGTAAACTGTTCAGTACTGTACTAATGCAGCACAGTACTGTATAGAGTTCCTCACTTAACGACCAATTCGGTCGTAGGAACGGAACTCGGTCGTTAAGTGAGGAATATATATAAAATGAGACATCACAACACTACTCTAGGTATGCCTTGAGCTTTGCGAATATATTCACTATCAGACCACAGCCAGGGATGGTGGTGTTTCAGATTTTGAGGATGGTGTACGCAAGCAAGTTTTAAAGTTACACCCTAAATATGGTTGTAACATGAAACATGGTCATAAAGGTGGACTAAACCTTTAACTAAGGATGTGGTGATTCCATCAGAAGAGGCGCTGCCATAAATGAAGTCTGGCGACTCTGACCTGCATCTGTTTGTAGCCGTCCTGTTCTCGTTTCTGTGTGGCCTCTACTTCCCGCAGCCTCTCCTGCACACTGTGCAAGGCCTGGTTGTGAAGGCTACTTCCTTCATTGTGATCCTCCATAATCCTGGAGGAGAGAAACATATTAGAAACGATTACTTTTCTTGGAAAACTCAAACCTTTTACAGGAGGTTACAGCATATATGGTTTGTTGCTATAGTCCGTAACAAATAAACACAAGCACATCTTATTGCCCACTTAACAAAAAACCTGTACCAGTAATAACTTAATTGAGATCCCAAGGTTTTTTTTATACCTGGAGTTCATCTATAAGGTCCCTGATCAATGGCGGAGCATTCTTATATTATATATCACACTGCAGCCATGCCTCACCTGGATTTCTCACTCTGCAGCATCTCCAGAGTCTCTGTGCGGCTGCTCAGTAACTGGTCAGCTTCCTGAAGCCGCACCTTCAGCACCGCTAACTGGGAGTCCTTGGCAGCTGCTGCCTCTGTCAGATCATCCACCTGGGCGCAGAGTTCTCTCACCGTTCTGTCGCTCTTGGAATTGTCTCCATTCCACTTCTCTATCCGTGTCCGTGCGTCATTCAGCTCTGCAAAGGAGTGATGTCATCAGCTATCACAGCACAAGGATCACGTAATAACCTGCACTGTGCAGTCAGTAACACTGCACTCTGTCCACGGGAGCTTCAACTTACCTACATTTCACCACTACTAGGACTTGGTCCGAGCTTTGGCTGTAAGAATGGCTCAGCCTATGGCCAGAAAAAGAGGGTTCGGGAGGCTGCTGCAGCTATGTGGACCTCTAGAGGCCTGCACTCTATACCTGCAGCAGCGTTTGCCTTCCCCTCCAATGACATTCTCTCTATACATAGATCATTATAGATACCTATGAAGTAAAACATGACTGGCTTCATGCTTATGGGGAGTATCTGGCACAGCAGGTGTTCAGGCAAAACACCGAGATAAGACAATCTTTAAGGGAATCCAAATTCAAATGCAATCTCCGGGCTCCCCCATCACCATCTGAATGGTTGCTGATATTACAAAAAAGCTGCGGTCATGTGACGCTCCAGTTCCAAGTCCTCCCTCCTCTTCTGTTTACAAGAGGGGACCTTCTTCAGATGACATCACTGACTGCATGACATGGACACTTCCTACTGGCTCTCCAGTGGCGGAGAATAGGAGTCTGCAGTGGTGAGGTTAGCACAAGGGGACTGGCTGTTGCGGGCACATTTCATTTGCTCTGCAGTATTGGCGATCACCAACACCCAGAGATGCAAGGAACCCCTAAGGTGCACTTAGGAGAATATATTTTGCTTCACAAGGTAAAATAAAATTGCAGGATGGTTTAGAGGAGGGTGGGACGGGGTTCATGTTTTGCCTGGAGATGGGTTTTAAGTAAATCAATAAAATAATGATTTGCTATTTTTTAATTCTTCTGGATAGATACATGCAGATCTGTATAATATGAGGAGACTTATACGAGTCAAGGATCAATATTACCGGGATCCCAAAATGTATTCTCAGATAGACCTGCATGCAAACACTCAGACAAATCCTCAATATGAAATCACCAATTTTCTCCCAATTTAACACAGGTCGGCTCAGTAGATCGGGAGGTGAGCGAACACATACCGGCGTTCGCTCACCTCTCGATCATGTCTCGGCTCTCTGCCGTGAAAGGGGAGGTGGCTGGATTCCCCCCTCCCCGATCCGCCAGCGCTGCCTGGCGGAACGGACAGGGGAGGGGGCGGGCACAGCTGGCTCTGCCTCTAGATAGGCAGAGCCAGCTGTCACTCACGCAGCTGGGCGGATCCCGGCATAATTGTCGGGATCCACTTCAGCGTCTCAGTAGCAGCAGCTCGCGGTATACTGAGCCTAGGGTGACGGGAGGACGCTAGTTTGTGTCCTCCCGTAACCCTAAGGAGAACTATGGGGAAAAGCCTTAACCGCAGTTCTCCTTTAATCATTGCTGCCTGGCATATGGAACCTCTGGGACCCTCTGTGAGGGCAGACACACAAGCATGACTCCGGTGAGACTGTCCGGGTATCCCAGATCTCATATATAAAAAGGTGCCGATTACCTTCGTAGGTCTCCTTAGATCTCTGGATCAGCGTCGCCATCTCCTGGTTCAGCGACTGGACCTCATTTCTGAGCAGCTGGTTCTCCAGACGGAGATTGGACAGTTCGTGGGATTTCTGGTCTCCATTACTATGGCTGGAGGTGGAGGACGTGTCTGAGGCTTTGCTGTCCTGGACTTTATCTTCCCGAGTGTTGTCTGCAGGCTGAAAATCTGCAGGGTTACATACAAAACCCAACAACATAAGACAAACGAGTAATCAATGGAGGTAAGTTCCTAAACAAAATAAATACAAATTAGAAGGAAAATCCGACTTTTTGGTTAGTATTTTATATTTGAAATGATATTTATAACCTGAAGATTTCATTTTTGATTTGTATAACATTTTTAATGACGACTGTAGTTTTAAGAAGAATGTTGCATGGATGAGAGTGCCACCAAGCTAGTACGAGTGAAGTAGGTTTTCAAATTGTACATGAAAAGAAAATATTCCAATGTGTTACGGGGGCTTAGAACTCCCCCTTCATCAGGGCTCAAATGCTGCCAGTAATTCAGCTGCCTGACTGGTGACCTGAAACAACACAAATCCAGATGTATCCTCAATTACTAGCTATCCCATCAGCCTCTCCTGCCTCTGCGCCCTCCCTTCCTATACACTGTACTGCATGTGATGACTCGCTGAATCTTAGACCGCCAGAGCATAGGGGGAGAAGAAGCTATGGGGACCAGTATAGCAGCCAGGCTGGACTGAGGATCGGGTGAGTATATCAGCTGTTTTAGCTCCCTAGACCAGGGGTAGGAACTCCGGGCTAAAACAAAATTAGCCCCACTGCAAGGGCTAATTTTGTTTCTGCCCGGAGTTCTTCTTTAAAGAAAATATGAGAGAAGACATGGAGGTTGCCCCTGATTAACAGCCAGGTAACTCACATTTTTAGATTGAGGCCAGTAATGGCGGCTCCCATATTGTAATAGCACAGGTCCACTATAAAGGGTAATGTGAGAGAAGTCACGGAGGCGGTCACCAACATTTTTAACATCAGACCAGCAAAGGCAGCTCCCATATTTTACTCAGGAAAGGTTTACTTTAAAAAGCAGAATTATGAGGCGAGTGCTTTTCACTCAGCCTCATAATCTGAGCCGACCTGTGACAATGAAACTATCCGTGCATAGAACCTTGACTGTCTCTCACGGCTCCCTGCACGGATTCCGCCCGGCCCCCCCTGTCCGAGCCTCCAGCGCTTACTGGCGGAACGGACGGTGGAGGGGACGGGTACAGCTGGCTCTGCCTCTAGATAGGCAGAGTCAGCTGTCAGTCACGCAGCTGGGCGGACGCAGACAGCATTGTCGGGATCCGTCCCGGCTGCGAGCTGTAGCTCCCTATATACTGAGCCTAGGGTGACGGGAGGACGCTAGTTTGTGTCCTCCCGTTACCCTAAGGAGAACTATGGGGAAAAGCCCTAACCCCATAGTTCTCCTTTAAAGGCTCAAGGTGCTAAAATAAAGCAGAGAGTAACCCATCACTGTCTGTATATGGAGCGGCCCTGTACCAGAATATCGTATTGCTGAAGCAGCTGGTTGGCTGTGCTGCAGACTACTCAATGTCCTTAATTAGACCGTCCTCGGCTGACATAAGTCCGACAAATCTTCTTACGTTGACAGTACCAGCGGTGATCTGGGAAAGATGCAGTTTGATGCTCCTGGGCGCAGAGCCCTGGCTACATACGTGGCATCATTCCTGTACACACTGCAGACATACACGGAATGTCTGCCAGCCTTCAGATAATGTACTAGATGGGCAGAGGGAAGAGTTCCCCTATAATGTACTTTGGTGGGGATGTGAATAGTTATATTTGTATTACCACCTAAGCACAAATGAGAGAACGGGAATTATTCTACAAATCAGACAAAATATGAAAAACAGATTTATGGTTATTTTACAGACAACAGTATTTGAGTTAACATTTTAAAGGGTTAATCACTTTTAATGTTGTACCTTCATCTCTGTATAGAGGCACGGTGCCACTTGCAGGCTGGAGAGGTTGGGGAGTAAACGTGCCTCCAGCCTGCATGTGACCACCGTAATTGTATGTCATGAAGATCACATGATTAAGAACCATACTGACTGCTTCCCGGTCACTAGCCTGAGACCTGCGGCTGGCAGTGATTGAACTAGCGGCGTGCACATCTGTGTGCTGCTACTTTACAGCTGAAACACATCACAATGTTCATCTATAGATTGAGGCCACCAGATCATTCGTATTAGGGATGCACCGATACTAGTATTGGTATATGTGCCGATGCCGAGTATTTGGGCTAGTACTCGTACTTGCCCAAATGCTCCGATGCCTAGGCCGATACTTCCAGTATCAGGAAGTCGGGCAGCGAGTCCTTACACGCTGCCCGGGTTCCTGATTGGCCGGGAAGCCGCCTCCATGCTCCCTCGCCACAATCTGCCCTAGAACAGCTGACAAAGCGTTAGAATGCTAACGGGCGGTCACACATTCCACCGCCGAAAAACTGGGCGGGATTACGTTGGAATGTGTGACCATGTCACCGGTCACACATTCCAACGTAGTCACAAACTTTGATAGAACACCGGCACTGGACTGACTGGAGTGCTGAAGCATGGACAAGGTAAGTAGATATATATTCTTTTTAACACCGGAAGGGGGGGAAGGCAAAAAATAAAAAAAAGAGAAAAAAGTTCACCTGTGGTTCTAGTTTGAGTCTTAGGAGAGGCGCTCCGGGTGATCTTGGCACTGTTGGAGTTGCTGGGCGCCGTTTGCCCGCTCGCCTCCCTGCTGGTTTCCTTTCTGGACTCAGCGGCGCCATTGTGCACTTTATCCGAACTGTTGAGGAAATTGAAGAGCAGCTCATCATCCGGCTCCGACTTCTTCCTCCGTACGAAGTGGCTGGAGGTCCTCTGCGTGGCGGCGCTGAGGGAGGACTCTGTACTGGCCCTGCTGATGGATTTTACATTGGCGGTGCCGGCGAGCAGCGTCGCCTTCTGGTTCTTTATGTTGTCGGCGGCGGATGAGATGAAGCCGGACTTGGTGTAGGTCGGGGGTTTCTCCTTCTGCTTGTCCGGAAGATGGGCGGCGTAGTCACCGGAGCTGATCAGGGCGGCCGCGGCTTCGGCCTCGGCCTCTTTGCTCTGGCTTAGTGCGGTCGCCGCTCCCTGATCCACCAAATTCAACAGATCTTCGGCCTTACCGGCCAGGTCTACTAGCCAGGACATGGCGGGAGATTGCCGACGGTCAGCAGTCACAGCTTGTCAGTCATGACCTGTAATGAAGAAGGCATACGGGATGTGATGTGTCTCAATGAAGTCATACAACACAGACCCCACTCTGTATGATAATGTGATCTCTGGGGGCAGGAACACAGCTGTGATACATTGCAAATACGCAGGACCCTCCCCTACCAATCAGCCAAGAGGACCTGTCACATCTGATTTTTGTTTAAGACCCTTCTAAGGGGCCGGTCTATAAATAATTGCTTTTTATTTTGCTGCTTATAGGGACCGTGCACACAGGGGGTGCCTGCTAGGGATGGTAGCATGTACAGGGTGCCCCACAAACTGGTACTATGCAGAGGGTGCCATGGGGAACAATACTGTGCACAGTGCGCCAGTCTGGACCAATACCATGCACAAGGGTGCCCTATAGACCAGTGCCATGCACCAGGGTGCCTCCAGGACCTGTTAAATATACAGCATGCCCCTTCCCCCACCAGACTTGTGAAAAGCACAGGGCGCCCCCAGGACCAGCACCATGCACAGGGTGCCCCCCGGGACCAGCACCATGCACAGGGTGCCCCCCCGGGACCAGCACCATGCACAGGGTGCCCCCCGGGACCAGCACCATGCACAGGGTGCCCCCCGGGACCAGCACCATGCACAGGGTGCCCCCCGGGACCAGCACCATGCACAGGGTGCCCCCCGGGACCAGCACCATGCACAGGGTGCCCCCCGGGACCAGCACCATGCACAGGGTGCCCCCCGGGACCAGCACCATGCACAGGGTGCCCCCCGGGACCAGCACCATGCACAGGGTGCCCCCCGGGACCAGCACCATGCACAGGGTGCCCCCCGGGACCAGCACCATGCACAGGGTGCCCCCCGGGACCAGCACCATGCACAGGGTGCCCCCCGGGACCAGCACCATGCACAGGGTGCCCCCCGGGACCAGCACCATGCACAGGGTGCCCCCCGGGACCAGCACCATGCACAGGGTGCCCCCCGGGACCAGCACCATGCACAGGGTGCCCCCCGGGACCAGCACCATGCACAGGGTGCCCCCCGGGACCAGCACCATGCACAGGGTGCCCCCCGGGACCAGCACCATGCACAGGGTGCCCCCCGGGACCAGCACCATGCACAGGGAAGCACCATGCACAGGGTGCCCCCCCGGGACCAGCACCATGCACAGGGTGCCCCCCGGGACCAGCACCATGCACAGGGTGCCCAGCTAGAAGGTGACACTCAGGAAGATGTCTACCAGGATCAGGGTAATGGCAAGTGAGCCCAACCAGACCATATACAGGGCAACGAACCGGCCAGGAGAAGTGGGCCAGGTACCCCGGGGCTGGGCTGTTACCTCTCCTCGGTGTACACAGGATGACACGGCTCTCACACTCTGCGCTCCGCTCTCTCCTCCATCCCCCCTACCGGAGACGTGGACCCGGAACTGCAGGACCCAAAACAGGCTGTCCCTGGCACTGCCTGACCGCAATTCATCACCATAGAGAGAGAGAAGGATAGAGCGGCCTGCCAGAGATACCAGCGAGAGGACAGAGCGCCCTCCCATAAACACGGTCGGTGGGGGTAGAGCGTCTCACTATAGAGACACGTCTATTCTCTAGAGCGAAGGATTTGGAGAAAGCTGGAGACGTGAACAATCGATTCTAGACCGAAATAGCTGATTTGGAAAAATTATCCAATACAGCTCACTTTCCAGTTCAGTTATGTTCTAGATTGTTCACTTCTCCTGTAACTCCTCACCCTTTAGTGCAGGGGTAGGGACCCTCCGGCCCTCCAGCTGTCTTACAACTACAAATCCCATGATGCATCTGTCTCGGAGTCAGGACTGTGGCTGTGAGAATCTTGGAATGCCTCATGTGATTTGTAGTTTCAGCACAGCTGGAGGGCTGGAGGTTCCCAACCCCTGCTTTACTGAATATCCATGTTAGTTGGGCTATAGGTAGAGCGGTCAGGGTTCTCTGACAGGCCCTGAATGGGTCTTAACTGTCCATCAATGACTTTGAAAATGAAACGATGACTGGTTGCTATGGCAATAGCTCCATTAATGTTATTTTCCTTGAATGAAACAGATTCTGGTTGCCATGGCAACAGCCCAATTCAAAGTTGAAGAGTCTATTTACATTTATGCGGAGCATCAACACACACGGAGGGAATTTACTAAAACTGGGACAGAATCTGGAGCATAGTAACCAATCAGCTTCCATCTGAACGAGCTGAAGACGGAAGCCGATTGGTTACTATGCACAGCTGCTCCAGATTCTGTCTGCTCCGGTTATAGTAAATACCCCTCATATTATTGTATGTTGCAGTGCAATGGGGTGCGATTCACAATGAAAGCCGCAGCAACGCATGTGTTACTGCAATGTGAAAGTGTACATGGGCCCCTATGTGTTTTCTAATGCTTTAGTGCATACAGACCAGACCCTAAACACTCACCTGCTTCAAAGCGTCACCCAGCTAGACTATGTGGTCAGCGGCCAGATCACCAAGAGACCACTTACTAGATTCTGTGATGTTGCTAGGTGGAGGAGACTGGTTGTTATGCGCAAAGATGCACCCAAAACTCTAAAATGTAGGTGCATGCCTTTTCATGCTCTCCCATTGCAGTCTATGGGGCCAAAACCACACTATGCAGCACCAAAAGAAGTGCCTGCACCTTGCTGTGCAGCAGAGGCGTAACTAGAAACCTCAGGGACCCGATGCAAGAAACCATGAAGGGCCCAACACCACACCCCACCCCACCATCGCAGGAGGGAGCTGTTGTCTTGCTGCATGCTGGGAGCTGTAGTACCATTAGACAATGTCGGCACCTCTGCAGTTGCTGGGGCCAGGCCCACTTCTTCCTTTCCGGGGCATACGTGCGACCATGGTAGTTTCACCTGAGCTGTCCAGAGAAAAATGTAATGTGTGCACTTAGTCCCCATTCACACATGAGCTTCATGTTGATGTGCGTTCCCATGCATTTGTTTCCTGCATCAAGTGTTTCAATGGGTCCCTGGGATGGGCACCAAGTGCAGGAAAGTAGTTCATCTTGCATATTCTGCAACATGTGTTCCGCATTTTTTTCCGTGCGTTCTCACGCAGGAACAACCCATGTTTGCTCAGCCGCATTTAGGGGTGCCATTGACTAATAATGACACTGCAAGCGGGTTCTGCGTATGTGCACATTTCATGATGCACATGTGTGAACGAGGTCTTAAAGTGGATGAGGAAGTGTAGAGCCCCTCCCAGTTCCCAGGTGCATCCAGCACAATCTCTGGCTACTTCTGATGCTACATAGAGCTCTCACATAGATGTCACAAGGTGCAAATACTTCCCTTCACTTAGATTAGGACTATGAAAGTAAAAGAGGAGGATGAAGTGTAGAGCCCCGCCCACTTCCCAGGTGCATCCCGACAGGTGTGCAGTCAGGAGCTGCAGCAGACTTTAGAGGTCCTGGGATTGGTGACATGGATTTGAGTAGTAAGGGCTTGTTCACGCCATAGCATTGCGCTAAAGGCATGGAAACATGCGCTAACTCACAGTGACTGTACTGCACGCTTCATTCTGAATGGCACCACAATGCACCTCCCAGCAGGCAACGCAACACACGCTATTGTGGTACCGTGCGTTATGCTGCTCACCGGGAGCTGCATTTAGAATGAAGAGTGCGGTACAGTACGCCGTGTGATAGTGAAATGGATTTGAACCACAACTGGGTTCACACAAGATGTCTGCTGCTGTTTCTAATTATGTTGTGTTCGGTGCACCGTAAAAATCACAAACTCGGAATTAACGGTCTATGAAAGTTCTAATTTTATTCAGGGCGGTCTCTCTCCTTTATACACAGATAACATGAGAGTGTTAGTCACACATATGCCCACATCTCTAAATGTCTTGTACTATTGGGCAAACTAGAGGAGCTGTTAAAGTCTTGTGTCTCTCGCTAATTGGTTAGTCAAAGATATCTTCTGCCTGTAGCATCCTCCCTCGGCATTCCTTTCATGTATCCTCGGCGCGCTCCCCGAACACAGGATATATCTCTTGGTTACGCATAGCAACGCTAGAAGCTGAGTAAGGAAAATCACAAAGCTAGGAAGCAAATGAAACAAATTCAAAACAGTTCAAAACATAGAAAAGGATATTTTCTTGATATGATCCATATTCCTTCACAATAGCAAGTGCTAAATGCTCGGATCCCGCGTCTTTAACGCAATGCCATGACATGAACAAGTCCTTACTACTGAAATCCATGCCACCAGTCCCTGAACCTCTCACACCTGCTGCAGCTCCTGATGGTGCACCTGGGAAGTGAGCGGGGCTCTGAACTTCATCCTACTCTTTCACTTTAAGGCCTCATTCACACGAGAAAAGGCCGGCACGTACAGCTCCGTGCTGCGTGCACGGCCGTATCGGGCAGCTCCCGGGAAGGACAGGTGCTGCGTGTGATTAGTACGCAGCCCCTGTCCTTCTCTATGGGAGAACGCGGTCATACGCCACGCTATGCTCACCCCAAGTGCAGGTCCATACGGGGGCAGGTGTCCCGGCTCGGACGCAGACCACACCACGGCCATCACCACTACTGAGATGCTGCCTAAGGCGACCACCTCAGGCTGCCTCATTATAGGTATGACTAGGGTTGCCACCTGTCCAGGATTCACCCGGACAGTCTGGGTTTTGAATGCTGTGTCCGGGTTTCATGGCAGCAGAAACCCGGACACAAGATGTCAGGCAGACGGGGGCAACCAAAACTAAGACATTGGCTACTGGCCCCCTGGTTTCGCTTGAAGAAAAGGTGGCAACCCTAGGCATGACCCTGACCAGGAACAAAATCCGGGACTATCTATGGACATCAGCAGCATTGCTTTTCTGTTGTTTTTCTTTGTCCCGTGATGTACTCTTGTTCATTCACAAGGGGGCAACATAACACCTCTTCTGCATTCTCAATCTCTTTATGATTTATGTAACATCAACTGTAATAAAAAAAAAAAATCGGGCTGCATGATGCTGATTACGGAATTATAAGAACAAAGCAGCAACGGTCTGTGAATAGATCGATAGTCAGATAAAAGGTCGGCAGACTCGGTGGGGTGGGGGGTCCGCAGACTCGGTGGACTTTCTTTTGTTTTTCGGTCCCTTTCTCTTGTCATGTAGATGATCGGGGTGTCTGGGTGGAGTTGTCACATGTGGCAATGCAGACACTTCGTGACTTCCAGTCAGCTGGTGACCAATGTCCATGCAACCATCAGCAATTATACATTACTGCAGACTTTGCTATAATTTTCCTCCAAGACCACAAACTGTTCCCCAGAACTTGGCGAATGTCAGGCGACACAATTTGACATTTTTGATAAAAAGGCGATTTTGGAGCTTTTCATCAACTTTCAAATCCAGCGATAAGCCCCCCCCCCCCCCCAGGGT